CCCCCCCCCCGGAAGACTGTGATAGTCCTGATTAGTCCAGGATAATCGGAGCTTTTTTGTTATATAGCGTCTCGAATGAAGAAAAAAGAAGAAAAAAAGCCAAGCACGTTTCTCCAAGTGGGTCAAGGTCGGGGGCCAGAAGCCAGGGTTGAAGAGTGGAGTTGTCGAGTCGAGTCTCGAATAGAGCGTTGATGTCGTGCTCGTCCAGCCACTAGATATGCCAATGTTCGGCCAGGATTGCTTCTCAGACTGCTGGCAATAACGCAATTGCCAGCTTGCATGTCACAATGATTATCCTTCCCGTGTAGTTCCATGTAGCGAATCAAAGAGGGCAAAACGTCCGATAGCATGGGATGATTTCTCTTGTTAATACTATATGCTGCCGGCTATTGCTGCAGCATGCATGTCTTCTCCTGTCGCAGCTCACCAGTCCGCGTTTTATACATCTGGAAGGTGGTTCGCCCCTGGTTTGGTTTCGACACTGCCATCCGACAACAACGCATTGTTTTATATCGATACCTTCTCTTCACTGTAGACAGGGCAGCCACGAGCTCAAACGTCCGTCGCCATGTCTCAGCAAGATGTGTCCGAAGGCCACGCCGACGGCGCGCCTCCCAGCACGCCTGTTAAGGGTAAGTAGAGTCCCACGTGCTTCTGCACGTGGAATGTCAGCGCTTGCTGGATTGGGTGCTTACTGGTTTCCGACAGTGCGATGGTACAGGTCCACGTTCTACAACATGACCATCCTGGGTCTCTGCAACCTCTCCGCCCCGGGAATCTGGACGGCCATGAACTCCCTGGGCGGCGGAGGCGCCGAGGAGCCGTACCTTGTCAACACGTCAAACGCCCTGACCTTCTGTCTGATGGTCGTGTCCTGCTGGCTGTCCAGCACCCTTGTCCGGTACATCGGTATCAAGGGAGCTCTGATTTTCGGAACGCAAGTGTACACCCCAAGACGTGTAAGCGAGATGTGCCGGTCGGCTGACAGATGTATGTCCACGCAGAGTCGGATATGCCCCCTATGCCGCAGGACTGTACGTCAACAACAGATACGACAACGAGTGGCTCATCCTCCTCGGTGCTGCCCTCTGCGGAATCTCCGCGGGTGTCTTCTGGTCTGCTGAAGCTGCCATCGCCATCGCCTACCCTGAGCCGTGGAATCGCGGCAGAGCCCTGGGATACTGGCTCACCTTCCGCATCAGCGGCCAGGTCATCGGCGGAGCCATCAACCTGGGTCTCAACGCGAACAGGAACACTGCCGGCAAGGTCTCCTACACCGTCTTCGAGGTCTTCATTGCGCTTCAGGCTGCGGGACCTGTAGTGGCGCTGTTTCTCAACCGCCCCCACAAGGTTCAGAGGACGGATGGCAAGCCGGTGTCGTTGGCGATCGAGGACAACCTGTGGGTGGAGCTCAAGCGTACGACCGAGGCTTTCCTGTCGCCCAAGTTCCTCCTCATCATTCTCCTGATCGGACAGGCCGTCTTTGCTGAGGCCGTCTTCTTCACCTACCTGTCGCGTGAGTCTACCGTACCCACGGCATCAGGTCGTCTGGGTTTCCTGCGGATTCGCTGACATCGGAAACTTGTAGTGTGGTTCTCTGTCCGCGGACGAGCCCTTGGATCATTCCTCTCCGGAATTGTCGCCGCGATTGGCGGAAACCTCTTGGGTGTAAGTCCCTTTACCTGCTCGTGCTTTCAGACCGCCGTACCTGACAGAAGAGAAATACCAGCTCTGGTTGGATAGGACTTCCATCTCGTTGAAGACCAGGGCCAGAGTCGCATTCCTGACCATCGTCACACTTCAAGGTGCCTGGTGGACGTGGGCGACCATCTTGGTGACTCGCTACCACAAGTCTAAGCCCACCTACGATTGGGTCGACGAAGGCTTCGGCGCCGGGTTCGGAGTCTTCATCTTCCTCACCCTCGGATTCCAGCTCAACTACATGTTCTTGTAAGTATCCAACCCCGCCGTTCATCTGCCTCTACAGGCTCGACAGTCTGCGAGATGACGGCTGACATTGAATTGGCAGGTACTTTGTCATCCAAAACATCTCCAAGAACGAGAAGGATGTTATCCGTTACGCCGCAGTCCTGCGCGGAACAGAGTCGGCCTGGCAGGCTGTCAGCTATGGTGTCACGTCCATCACCATCATAGCCCGGGTGGGTGGTGTCTACATCAACTACGGGCTGTGGGCGGCGGCCCTCTTCCCGGCCTGGCTGGTCATCCGTCACATCGGGTCGTCCAGCAACGTCGAGGAGGAGTCGCACGATGGCAGCGGGAGCATCAGCGGAGGAGACAAGCAGACGTCGACCACTGTCGGCAAGGACGTCACCAACTGAATATGTACACTGTGCAGTTCAGCTGGCTCGTTCGGAGTTTGTAGATGTATCATTTGTTAGACAAATAGAAGACGAAGATGAAAGATTGATTTTCCGTTGCCAGGGTGGTCACTTTGCACTGAACCATCAAGGGAGGATGTGTCAAGCGCTGACGGAGGACAGAGGACAGAGGACAGTCAGGGAAGTGTCAAGCCACCCAAGTCGTACCAAGCCACATCAAGCCACAGCCACATCCAAGAATAACATCAGGAGATCATCAAGAAAGATTCAGCCAAGGTCCAAGGAAGTATAAAGATGATCACCAGCAAGACAAAGGCATTGGAAATGAGATGCGAGAACAGGCATAAAGAGAGAGGTAGCTGAGAAGCTACTAGAGAGAAAGAAGACTGGGATGAATGAATAAAACTCTTGACCCCAAGTTAACCCTGAATCTCTTTTCTGTCTACAGCCTGCCAGACTTCATCACTTTCTCTATCAATTCTGACAAGTCTTCTTGACAGGATGACGTTGGGGGGTTGATCTGTTTCCTCCCCTGCCGTTGCGTCCCCCCTTTTGTCGTCTTTCTATTTCTTAATCAATCCCAGCCTAGCCCTCTACTTTCTGTCGCAACTTCATGATGGATATTTAACCTAGAACCATCTATGCTGCAGGCAATGATTTAAAGCATCTCATAGTACAATACCAGGACTCATTCCTATGAACTTCATCATCAGTAACCGAAATGCCTTTATAGAGGGCCGGAAATGATCAAGGCTTACCGTACCCAAAGAATCAGACGAACAGCATCGCACTCTGGGCCCGACATAGTTCCTTGCAGCTCAACCTGAGAATCTCAGGGACACGATGGGAAGCATGACGATGAGGCCTCCTGCGTATGTATCTGCCTAACCAAAAACGCTTTACCGATGAATTGATATGAGGAAGTACCGACAGAGGTAAGACTAGCGTTGTCGAGGATCCATCATCGTCGAGGTCGCAGACAGAGAGAGCCCCTATATTACATTATCAAGTAGTACATTTGCACTTCCGCTAGTAAGTCATCCAAGACGGGACAGGGGGGGCCTGCAAGCAGGTTCAATGCCGACGATCGAAAAAGGAATAGAAAGAGGACTCTCTACCCAATGGACGCAGGACATTCACCTCGGAAGAGCACGCATTCTTTTGCACGTGCCGCCCATAATCATCAACGCGAGGCCGCGATCCTCTCGTCGACTTACACGCGGACCGGAGAGGGCCCGTCTATTTGGCGAGACTAGCTTTCGGTAAAATCAACCACCCCATTGGATGAAGAGAATGTGGGGAAGGCCGCCACCTCGCGTTGTGGGGTAATCGAGCGTACTCCGTGTCTCGGCGGCCTCCATGAGATGTCTCCATCGCCTTTTCTATTCTCACTACAATCTTTTGCTCTTCATCCTCGCCTTTCTAGAATCGTGTTGCCGTCACCCAGACGAGACTGTGATCCGGCAACAGAAATCGCCACAGCTGTCGGCATGAGCACACACTCGTATGTCGGTTGGTACGCTTGATCCACCATGAACCATTTGTCGCTTGCATCCGTCGCTTTCTGCTAACGCAAGACGGCATAGGCATAATGCAGCTGAGAAAAAGGCAAAAGCTGGCATGCCACTATATGAGGTCCATCTGTGGACATCGTAGCACACTGCGAGTGTGTTTCCGATATAGAACAGCATTCAGACCTTATCTTTACTTGCCATGATGAACCTCCATCCTCAAGACATGCTCGAGACACTACAAGTAAGTTCGCAGATACTCCCCGAGAGCCATGATGGCCATGGCCTGGCCATAGGGCATCGATGTCAGAGGAATAGTCTTGTAGAAGTCCAAGCTGTGGGCCCATAGGTGTTCCGGGGCTCGTGTTTTGAAGCTCGCCCTTGTCGTCTACATGCTCCAGCACCGAAGCGATGGCCTTCTCGGCGACATAGGCATACTGCGGGTCGATGTAGCGCTTCCGAAAAGCCTTGAGGATTCCAGAGACGAATCCAGCCGTGGCCGATGCTTCAACATACGAGTCTTCATCATCGAGCAGGGTATGCCAGGCTCCCGACGATGATTGGAGCTTCCCCAGGGCCTCGCACTGCGCCTCGAGCGTATCGATCAAGTGAATCCTGATCGGATCGCTTACGGGGAGATTGGGAAGCTCGAGAATTTCGGGAATCACGATGGTGACCCAGCCGTTCCCGCGGGCCCACAAGGCACGTGCAAAGTTATGACCCCCGTCCTCAAACGTCCATCCGTGGAACCAGAGGCCAGACTTCGTATCGAGCAGATACTTTATATGGATGAGGAACCGTCTCTTCGCCTCCTCGATATACTCGGGCCGGTTTAGGAGTTCTCCAACCTTCGCTAGGGGGAGAGCTGTCATCATGAGGGTGTCATCCCACAGCTGCTGCCGATTTTCCTCCATATAGGTCATGTGCTGCATGCCCCCGTACCGCGTCCGCGGGAGTTGGTACATGGCCCATTCTGCCCACGCCTCAAGCCACGGGAGATGGATGGGGTTGCCGGTCTTCTCGTAGACGTAGGCGAGCGTGAGGAAGGGAGCCATGGTATCGATGTTCTTCGTCGTACTCCCTTCATCGAAGCGGGCTGCGGACCAGTCCTCTATTATCTTCAGTAGCTCAGGCTCGCCTGTGACCTCGTAGTATTTCCAGATCCCGTACAAGCCGACGCCGTGGGTCCACTCCCAGCCATTTCAGCCTTTGGCGTCCATGATCCGACCGTCTGGCAGGTGCAGAATGAGTTCGCCCGTTTCATCCCGGATATTGATCATATTATCAATCAGAAGATGAATCGAATTGCGAACCTCCAGGAGGTGGGGCTTTTGGAACACGACGGTTGACATGCTGTGGTGTGTGGTGTGGGAGACGGGGGGGTAAGGGGGGGGGGGGGGGGGGGGGGGGGGGGGGGGGGGGGGGAGAGGAGGTAACTGGGGGTAGACTCTCACAAGTGATGCGTGGAATTTCAGCAGATCTTGTCGTTATCGGTTGAGCCGGATAAATCACAAGCGAGAGGTATTAAAATGAACGATAAGTTTCGGCATTGTAATGTACGATACCGCGAGCTTTTATACCAGGTTGCGGCATTGGATGTCTTGGAGCCCGGTATATCTCTCCCCGACGCTAATGACGTGTAATTCGGGACGGGACAATGGAGCCGAGGTCTATGATACTGAAAACCTCGGGGCTTTACCTGTTCTTGGATAAATCTGATATGTCTATAACAGATTCACCGCTGCCCCACACACACCATGCCTCCAACTGGAGTAACAATCCATAACCCCATGCCCCAGATTATGGGGGGGGGAGGGACGAGCGGGGAATCTGGGGGAGACGTGGGCCTTTCCCCGCAGGAATTCACCTTCTCTTAGACTGATGACTGTTTCGTTTATAAGGGCTCTGGTCTTCTCCTCCTCTGTGGTCCGCAAGCCATCTCCTTCTACTCACTCCATACACCCTGGTACACCTTGTTCTGGAAGTCAGGATGGATCGAAAGTCGCAGGAAGCACCTGCCAAGTATGATTCAGGTGAAGGTCCTGACAATGTGCACCTCGAGAGGGTGACCTCGACTTTCGACCATGATCTCAAGAAGCCGGCCCAGAACTTGTCGCTTGTCGACGCAGAGGTCCAAGAATATACGTCGCATGGCCAGCTTCATATCGACGAGGCGACCAACAAGCGCCTCAAGCGCATGATTGACCGCCGGGTGCTGGTTTCTATGATCCTCACATACTTCCTGCAAGCCCTTGACAAGGGGACCATGTCCTTTGCGGCCATCATGGGCATCAAAGAGGACGCGAATCTGGAAGGAGGCCAGAAGGTATAGCAGAACCAAGGAGTCACCTTCTCTCGACGACAGATCATGCAACGTACGGATGCTGACGGAAAGAAAAAAAACCGTGACAGTTTTCCTGGCTCACCACGTGTATATACATCGCCGTCCTCTGTGTCGAATACCCGACCAACTGGATCATTCAGCGCGTACCGATCGGAAAATACCTCGGTATAAACATCTGCCTTTGGGGTATTGTTCTTGCACTCCATGCTGTGTGCCACAGCTTTGCCGGCCTGGTAACGGTCAGAACGCTCCTGGGAATATTCGAGGCGTGCTGCCAGCCCATATTTGTCGTGCTCTCGTCCATGTGGTACAAGAGAGAGGAGCAGGCGTCGGTCGTGACCTATTGGTAAGTGCATGGACCTACGTGGCCGTTTCTGTTCTGCCATCCGCCTATTCTGATCGATGATTGAATAGGTACATGATGAATGGTGGCCAGCAGATCATCGGCGGGCTTCTGGCTTACTGCTTCACACTCATCGACAAGGCGGCCCTGAAGTCCTGGCAGATCCTGTTCCTTGTGTATGGCTGCATCTCCTTCGTCTGGGGCCTCTTCATCATATGGTGGCTTCCCGACTCACCGATGCGCGCCAAGTGCTTCAGCGAAGAGGACAAGCACCTCATGGTTGAGCGCTTGAGATCCAATCAGACGGGTATCCAGAATAAGGAGTTCCGTGCCTACCAGGTCTGGGAGGCTTTTCGTGATCCGCAGATGTGGTGCTACTGCGTCATTCAGATCACCACGACACTTCCCACCAGTGGCCTCGGCAGCTTCTTCGCCATCATCATCTCAAGCTTCGACTTCTCCACCTTGCATACGCAACTGCTTGCCATGGTGCTGGGATTCTACATCATCTTTGTTCTCCTCACGTCCTCGTGGTTGGTGAAGAAGTACCAGCAGAATACCCTCGTGATGTTGGGATTCATCGTTCCGTAAGTACACATACAGGGAGCATCCGCTCTACTCCTTCTTTAGAGAAGGATGCTGACCGGGAAACTTTGACAGATCTTACATCGGTACCATCGTCTTGATGACGGTGAAGAATACATCTGTCGCCACGAGGGCCGGACTCCTCTTGAGCTACTACATCACCATGTCATTCTTTGCAGCCCAGACTCTGACGCTGTCCATGGTCTCACGCAACACCGCCGGACAGACGAAGAAGACGGTCGTGGTGGCGTCGACGTTCATCAGCTGGGCTACTGGAAATGCAATTGGTAAGCTTGAGATGAACAAGGCCTCTGCTCCTCTCGATCTCGTGCCACTTCTAACTCTCCTCAAAAAGGCCCACAGGTTTTCCTGGACTGGGATGCTCCCAGATATCGCATCGCGTGGAGTGTGCACCTGGCCTGCTACGCTTGCATGACTCTTGCCGTCCTTTTCCTCCGGTTCTACCTGAAGCGCGAGAACGCCAAGAAGGACAAGATCATGGCCGAGGCCGGGTACACAAACGCCGATCCGGGGCTTGTCCATGCTTTCGAGGATAAGACGGATAAAGAAAATATCAATTTCCGATACATCTATTAAAGTCCCTGACGCGGCGGCTCAAGTTCGATATTTCCAGTCTTGGTTATTACTAGAGCATCTATTCGGGGTTAGACGGCGGTCTGGATTCATTGAAAACAATAGCACAAGAGCAGAGATGAATGATAGATTCCTTTCTTCTAAATAACCTTCAGCTTCATCTACTTTATTTCCCAATGGCATTTTGCTTTTTTTTCCCTCGTGGTGTAGAGTAATACACCAAACCAACCCTTACAAAACTCTTACTTTCTCCCTCTTTTTCTCCACAGAAGGATATATTACAGCAACGAAACCAACTAGCTGAGCCGTGGCGGTGACCTGCTCCGGTCTGTCGTGTAGTTCATCGTCTTCCTCTGAAGAAGAAGAAGAAGAGGTTGCCAAGGTTGCCAGGCATGGTGCCGAAGGTTTGAAAGTACGATGCCTGGTGATGAGGGGAGATCAAGAGGAAGTTGAAAGGTGCCAGAGTGTTCAATGACAATGAGGAGACGTGTGACTGCAACTGAAGGTAGCAAGGCTTACAAGTGTTTTGCATTGCAATGCTTCGCCTAGACTCACCACATGCCTCACGCATGTCTGTACATACCCCTTCTAACCGTGCTGCACTGTTGGGGAGCGTCCAAACGCGGCGGCGGAATCCGTCAGATCTAGCGGTCTTGAAAACAGATGCTCTGCTTACATGCATCAAGCTGCGAGTCCAACATCCCGGACCTCCAGCTTCACACGAGTAGCAGCAGGCGCCGCCTGGTGATTTCCCTTGCTAAGCAGACCCTCCAGAGGGTCGCAATCCGTCGAATCCAAAGCACCGTCCTCGGGAAGAATCTTGAAATGTGCAATCAGGTGAAGCAAGACGGTGTATAGTGCCTTCGAGGCAACATGGCTGGCAACACACATGCGACCGCCCATGCCGAATGCAAACTGGTGACGGTGCAGGGAGTCTCCATCAAGCCACCTCTGAGGATCGAAAACGTTCGCATCGGGAAATACTTCCGTATCTGGGTTCGTCTTCCTTGTCAGCGTCACCGTCATCTTCTCAAGCGGAACTGCTACCATGCAGGGTAGTCGATCGGTATTGATACCTCTATTGCATGCCCAGGTATTGAGGAGGAGCATCGTGTTGGGCGGGATGCTCGCGCCCTCCCACTTTACCGTTCCGTGGGTCGCCTTGGGCAGAGCGAGCCGCAGGACAACGAAGTAGCGGCCGATTTCCTTCACAAGAGCTTCGATATAGGCGATATTGGTGTGGGCCACGTTGGGCGACGTCAGGATACCGCTCCCTTGCTCTCTTATTGACTGGAATGCCTTTTCTTGGATATCTTGACGATGGGCGAGTATCTGCATCGACCAGAGAAGAGAGCGCTTCGTCGTGTCCGATCCAGCCATCATGCTCATACTGATGCTGAGGAGTTCTCCCTCGGATAGGCCCTTGCTCTCCGGATCTTTGAGGACATTGCCTTGAATGCTACCGTATGTGAGCCAGACATCGCAGCATAGTCGCCACACCCGTTCTTTTCCCTCTTGTTTTCCACACACTCACCATGGCTTGTCAATCCCAAGTTCAATCTCTCGTCGCAGGTTTCTCTGCAGGGCATCATGGTATGCATACCTACGCTTTCCCACGCTTGCCATCAGCTTCTCCCCCTTGGACAGACCAAGCATCTCGGACAGACGGCTGAACGGTCTGAGTAGCGGGATGTAGTTCAGGTAGTTTCCCGATATGTCTCTATACTTCATAATCATCTCTTCGATGTACAGGATCTCGGAGAGTAGGAGATCGTCGTGCAAGTCCTTGACATCGTCGACCCTGTACCATTACATACGATCAGCCTCCCCGACCTCGATAGATATAGAGATGCAATCTACCTTGTCCCGTAGCTCAAGGTCAAGCTCAGATTGAGAGCAAACTTGTGACATGCGTCCAGTACATTGATCGAGCTCTCCGTTCCGCCTCGCGATGCTGTGATGAGGTCTTGCAGGAAAGCCCGCGACTCCAGGTCCAAGATCTACATTGACTGTCAGTCTATGTTCCCGGTAGTAGCCGCATGGGGGACTTGATCGGTCTCACAGGTAGATAACTCTCAACGCTGGCCTTGTTCAACGCTGTGGCAGCAATCTTCCGACGCCTCTTGCAGCTGTGGTCCCATCCGCTGGTTCCGATGCTCGTGACAGAGCTTCCCTTCTGGACCTTGTTATGCAAGACGTAGAACTTTGGGCGTCCGTTGGTAGCCTCCCGCTGAGAGATGAAGAAGGCCCTGGCAGCGGAAGCGCTGTTCACCACGACGGTTGTGGTGTTTCCCAGCTGTACCTGGAAGACGTCGCCATACCTTGACGCCCATCGGCGATATTCCTCAGCGGGAATCCGGCTTGACAAGTAGGGGAGGCTGCCGACGAGGGGCCACCCACGGGGGCCTGGGAGATTGGGTATCCTGTTATAGTAGCGGACAAACTCGTTGGTGGCAATGTAGAGCAGAAGCGTGGAGACTGTGGAGGCCAAGGTCCAGGCGATCAGCCAGGATACGAGGGTCTTGTCAGGTATGGAGAGCGCCATGGATGCTGTCAGACGGTGGGGATACAATTGAGGCACTGGATGATGACCGCAGCCGGGGATCTGGGAGATTATCTGTTGGTATTTGTCGGACTCTTCAATACATGCAGCACATCGACAGTCACAACAGCCAGGAACTATCCTTCCCACCATCAAATCATCCCAACCACCACCCCTACTCAACCACCCCGCCATCAAGAATGCTAGGAGTGGACTATCACGAATATAAGAGCTCCACGCCTCACTGATCAGGCATGGGTTGTATTTCTAATCCATTTGACCGGAAATAAGTCTGTTACGAGGATCAATTAGCAACGGTGCGTTTCCCCACACACACAAACAGAGCGGTCGTTTTCTAAACAACGGGATGTGATAGGTGAGAGTAGAGGATGATGGAATTGGCCGTTCTTATCTCGCCATTGTTGATCTGGCCCGTGTCTGGGAATTACGCGAGTGAGCTCATGATAATGCAGATGAGAATATCGCTTCTTGGCTATTCTCTAATCGGCTGCATATATCCACAGTCGCATATATACCCGGTGCCCGAAGTCGGAGGGTTGAGGGGCATATCCAGCATGGGCGTCTGTGAAATTAAACTCTTTCCATTCCGTTCATGTTTGCCAGAAGAGGAGCGTAGATCTCCTCTCCTCCCTGAATTCTTTGCGCAGCCCGGGATGTCAGATGAGAACCCATCTGTGTCTGAGGTTGTGAGGCCCGACACGTCTACTTCAACTCCACTCCAGGATGAGAGAGGCCAAGAGAGTGCAATCGTTATCCAGCGACGAAGGAAGTCACGTTCATGGACCTCTCCATATGCGATAGCTGCAGCTGGAATTGCCCTTCTTGCCATACCGTTGAGCTGGGTCGTTCCCGGTGAGGCTCCAATCGACCCCAGCGACTACGCATCGCGCACCAGAAGAGTACTGCAGACGACTCCCCTGATCGACGGCCACAATGACCTCCCGTGGCTCATGCGCGTGGAGCTGCATAACCGCATTCGCAGCGATGAGTTTGACCCGAGACAGAAGCTGCTGGGCCACACAGATATCTCCCGTATGCGACAGGGCATGATGGGCGGGCAATTCTGGAGTGTCCATGTCCACTGCGACAGCGCGCAGAAGCATTTCGAGGATCGTTCGGTACGTATACGCAGTTCGTCGCTTGTACGACATATTACGAGAGTGAGCAGTATCTGACCATGTACATCTATATGAGCAGTGGGCAGTCCGCGATACTCTCGAGCAGATTGACGTGGCCAAGAGGTTCATCTCGGAATACCCCGATGTCTTCACCTACTGCACCACCCCGGCGTGCGCGCGTAAGGCGTTTGGAAGTGGACGCATTGCAAGCATGCTCGGCATCGAAGGCGGTCATCAGCTCGGAGGTTCGATCGCGGCCTTGCGCCAGGCATACGACCTCGGCGTTCGATACGTCACGACGACACACAACTGCGATAACGCCTGGGCCACCTCCGCTTCTACGGTGGCAGCCAACGGGCCTGATGCGGACAAGGGGCTGACGAGATTCGGCGCGGCGTACGTCAGGGAGATGAACCGGCTGGGAATGATGCTGGACTTGTCGCATGTCTCCCACCAGACCATGAGGGACGTTCTATCACTCACACGCGCACCAATCATCTTTTCTCACTCTGGAGCCTACGCTGTCTCGCCGCATCTGAGGAACGTCCCAGATGATGTTCTGAGAAGTGTCGGCCGAAATGGGGGGATCGTCATGGCCGTGTTCGTGAACCGGTTCTTGAACGCCAGGGATCCCGACGCTGCAACTATACATGATGTTGTTGACCACATTCTTCACATTGCAGACGTCGCCGGCTGGGAGCATGTTGGCATCGGCTCTGACTTTAGCGGCACGCCGTATACCCCTTCTGGGCTTGAGGTAACACATTGCGTTGTGCCTCGTTTCAAGAAGGGACTATCTCATCTTGGGATGTAGAGCGTTCTTCTCTTTTTTTTTTTTTCTTTTCTGACCTCGACTCTTAGGACGTTTCTAAATTCCCCGACTTGATTGAGCTCTTGATGGCTCGCGGTGTTTCGGACGACCAGATCCGACTCCTGGTCGGCGACAACATTCTTCGTGTCTGGGGAAACATTCAGCACAGGGCCTTGGAGATACAACAAGAAGAACTCCCGGTTGAGGATGAATGGGAGGGACGGTCCTGGCAGCATGGATACAAGAGCTCCCCTTACATGTTCCGATCGACTCGGGACCGCGCCGTCAGGGAGAATTGGGGTCAGCCAAACCAGTTCAAATTGGCTGTCAAGGAAGAAAAGCATGTCTAGGCGTAATATACATAGATACGGTCTTCTATCAACGTGATGTGTTTCATCTTAGACCGATATTATAATTCATCCCAGGCATATAGTCATGCAATCAAGAAGTAACATAATTATACTACCTCTCGTACATCCTAAACCCCGGTCACGGCCGTCATATCTCCATTCAATGTTCCCTTCAGCCCGTCTCATCTCCGCCCAACCACACACTTACACGCTATCAAGATGCACGGGACCCCACAACTCCCCATGTGGCATCGAGACATCAAGCGACTAGAATATCACGCTTTTCTTCTTCGAGGCTGACCATCACGACGTGTGAGTGGGCTACGATATACAATCACTGATTCAACAGGTCGTCTCCGTATCGCCCATCCACCATCGGATCACACCATTGCTACTATAATCACGTTCCGTCCGTATCAACGGCCGCTCGCGCCATGGAGCCCCAGTCGCATGCAATCCTGCCGAGCTCGGGTGTCATCTTTTAAGAACCCATGCCTCGCCCGTCAGGCACGGGATTCGTTTTTTTCTCCCTTTCCTTTCTGCATGCCTCGCGTCCCGCTCCCGGACGTTCTTGGGTCGTCGTAATATCGAAGCGGGGTCCGGGCTCGATGTAGTATTCATCGATATTAGCTACTATATAAAGTCACATCGGCATCCTGCCATTCAATATACCATATGTGTGTGAAAACACCAGTGTTTCCGTCTTCATCTTTAGTTCTCGGGAGCCACCGATACGTGATTCATTCTATCATGCCTGGCACCGGGGTTGTCGATGGCAAGGTCCCCGCCACAGTCGGACATCAGGACGCTCTGTCCGCGTCTGCTTCTGAAGCCGATAGCCTGTCCAGCCGCGTTCTAGTGCGCAGACTCCTCCGGAAGACCGACCTCTTGGTTCTTCCCGGTCTCTGTCTGGCATACTTCACTAATGTTCTAGATAGGAGCAACCTGGGCAACGCCAAGACGGATACCATCGAGAAGGATTTGAATCTAGGGGCAAATGAGTTCTCGACAATCCTCATAGTCTTCTACGTTCCGTACGCCCTCTTCAACATCCCATGGTCAATCCTGTCCAAAAAGTACAATCCCGCAATCGTCATCCCGCTGGCCGTCTCTCTCTGGGGCGTCGTCACCATGGCCTCTGTCGCATCGAAGAATGCCGGACAGCTCATGACGTGTCGAATCCTTGTCGGAGCAATCGAGGCGAGCTACAAGCCCTGTGAAGTGTTCTACCTCAGTCTCTTCTACACCAGGAAGGAGATGAGCTTTCGCGTGGGCATCATTGGACAGATGGGATTCATTGCTGGCGCTGTATCGGGCCTGATTAGCTGGGGTGTCTTTCGGTGGAATGGGAAGTTACATGTAAGTCATGGTTCATACGTTCATACACCGGGGCGGGGGGGGGGGGGGGGGGGGGGGGGGGGGGGGGGGGGGGGGGGTTTGCTTGATGCTTGATATGTTAATCATGGTTCCAGGGTTGGCAATACCTGTTCATCATTGAGGGTGCCATCACAGTCTTCGTCGCTGCTTGGCTGTTCACCTGGGCTCCACGCAGTCCTGAGAAGTGTCGCTTCTTCAACGAGGAGGAGAAACAGCTAGCCCTTTCACGTCTAAAACTCGACTCCCAAGACCAGGACAAGCAGTTTCGGTGGTCCGATGCCATCTCCCAGCTCAAGATGTGGCAGACCTGGGTCTTTGCTTTCATGTCCTTGTTGTACGGTGTTGGTGTTGCCAGCAGCTCGAATTTCCTGCCTGTAAGCTGCTTCGGGATGGGCCCCGTTGGTAGCATCACATCGATCTGACACCTGTACCTAGACCATGGTCAAGCGCCTAACCAAGGAGACCGTCCAGGCAAACCTCTACACCGTGGGGCCCAACCTGGTAGCCTCCGCTGTCCAACTTGTCATCACCTGGTTGTCCGATCGCTACCAAGAGCGCTCTTACTACTCGTGCGGAAGTGTCGTCGTCTCCATCATCGGCTGGATTCTTCTTGGCGCCCTTAACCTCGTCGAGCACCCAGATGTCGGGTACTTCCTAACGTACCTCATCCCCTGCGCGACCTTTATCCCAAGCAACCTTGTCCCCGTGTGGCTGTCCTCAAACACGCCGACGACCACTGGCCGTGCCGTATCCTTGGGCCTCAACTATACCTTCATGAACCTTGCGGGGATCATATCCTCCGTCTCTTTTAGAGACAGCGAGGCACCTGTGTACAGATCAGCGCTGCTCTCGGCAGGCGTCACACAGGCCGCGTTCGCATTCACGGCTCTTGCCATGAGGTTCTACTACGTACGGCTGAATAGGGACTTGGACGGTGGCAAGCTCCCGCATGCTCCTGGGATGGCGAAGCGTCCGGATTACAGATATGCCGTATAGAGATCTATATAACATCATCCAGCTTCACCTCATAACTCGCACAAAGCCTTTGTTTGAGAAATATGGAATGGTACACCGAGTTTAGTACTAATTTTTTTGCCAAGTCCGCCACGCTTAGTAGCGAGTACATGTCTCGTAAGCTCGTCCCATGCTATATCCACCTCGGGAGAAGATGCTTCAAGAATCTCCTTCTTGTTAGCTCCAAGCTCAACAGAGAGGGGCACAAGCTGTTCGAACTCAGGCTCATAAGATCATGTACGGAAGGAGGTCCCGATGGTTGTGAGCGCACGCAACATCTGTAGCTGATTCTCCTGAACATATAGTCTAGCGTCACGAAGGGCTTGGGATTCGACCTTCTCAACACTCTCCGTCCATTGACACTTACCAGCCGATATCCCTGTAGATACATGTAGGTTGGGACATCCGTACGTTGGGAGACCTTGATGACTTGAATACGCTAGAATGGTGGCGGCTGCACCTTTCAATGGCTGGCAGAGTCACAGCAAGGTACACACATACTGGAGGTTAAACATTCACGATTGAATCGGGAGGGGTTTCCTATCTTATAAGCGTCTCTCACATGCGGACCATGCCTGCTAGCTGTAACGGCAGCCTTGCTCTCTGCGTTGAGCTCGAACGCAGGATGGCGTCTGTCTCACGGCACGGCAACCCTTCACGGCAGAGGCAATATGCTGCACATCGCCATACACGCGTGCGAACAGTAGACAGAGATTGACGTTTGCAAATACTGTTTGTATTATCGCATTCATGTAACGACCCGCTTCGTAAAGGTCATGGTGAGCATGTCCTGACGAATAATGCAGCGCCAGGTATAGGTGGCAAAAGTCGCCAAGAGCGCGTCAAAGCAACATGTTTTTTTTGTGACACCTCATCCAACATCGGCTCGCAAGAGGGCTCCGCGGACGACTGTTCATCGATGGCGGAGTTGCGACTGGGCGGGGTAGAAATGTACGAAGCTATCGCGTCGATAACTACGTCACGTGGACCTGCGCGTGTCTAGTGTGGGGACGCGTTTCCAACGGCCATGACATTTGCACATGTCAGATGTCGAGCCTGTAGAAACCTTGAAACGCATACGGGTGGTGGTCATACGAGAGGCAGTCATGGCCAGTTGGTTTGAAAAGGGGCGGCCAGCCCTATTTGAGGCGCTGGACGCCGTCTGCAAACAGATTGACCGCGATCTGTCCACAGGTGTGTTTCTCCTTGCCTATGCTACTCAAGCTCCAAAGCGAAAGTGTGACGCGACTGGTTGATCTGGTTGACTGACCGGCAGTCGATACTACAGAACTGCAGAAGAAGATAGATGGCAAAGAGCCTCAAAGAGAGGTGGCCACCAGGTCGACCGTCTCCGCGGAGGTCCAGACGAAGGCAAGCGACAGCTCGGGCACGACGACTGCGACGACACCAGACAAGGACTGGAAGAGCGAGTACGCCAAGCTCAGTGCCAAGTTCAACGCGCTGTCGAGAAACTTCAAGATAGCCCGGGACACGCTGCAGAGGCGGAAAGACCAGCGCGATGGGTGGATAAAGCATGCTCAAAAGCTGGAGCAAAAGATCCGGGCAGCCGAAGAAGAACACGGCATATGCATCTTGGACGGGCCTACGCGGACGACGGGAAAGGACAACAATGAGACGGCGGTGCTTTTCCGGGACGTCAGCTTCAACTCTGGACTTGACGTGGGCGCAGACGCAATGCTACCACCCATGCCTGCGAACGAGCAGGCGCCGACTCCCGTGGCATCAGAGGAACAGGCCGTCCCGGGATCCACACAGAGCGAGGCTGAGCCGGTGACATCAGTGATGCCTGGCCTGCAGCATGTTGTTGAAGAGCAGAGATTCGGCGGTATCAAGGAGGAACCTTCATCTGATGGCCCAGTCTTCGTCTCGGAGCGGCCCGTGAAGAAGAGGAAACATGATGACGATCAAGAGGGAGCACGCACACCAACAGCTGCCATCAAGACTGAACCCCCTGACGGTTCGAGTCCCAGCGTGGGGCTGGACCGGTACGGGTTCAACCCTCACGAGAGCCCCGACCTGGGTGAGGTGTCCCACACCATGGACACGCCTCGGAAACTCCGAGGCAGGGAGCAGGCTGAGCAGGAGGATAGGCAGGCAGAGGACGAGCCGGACGATTCTCCCATCCACCAGCCAGGTTACACATACACTCCGACACCTCTCGACGCACATCGGCATCAGTCACGACACACCTCCCCCCCACCGCAACAAGAGAGGGGAGCCCGCAGGCGCTACGACGTCGCCCGCGGCATCGCAGACTTGGCCGAGGACGGACAAGCGTATGGGCCGAAACGGCGGCAAGCGGCAGCATCAAAACCCGCCCAGGGCGTCAGCCCAGCAGTCAAAAGCCGTCTGGGCGCTCTCCTGGACGGCGGTTCTCCCTCCGAAAACGACACCCCGATCACGCGACGACACCCAGGCTCCTCCGCCACAAGGGAGAGAGATCCGCTACCCATCCCCGAACCGCGAGAGCTACCCTTTGAGAACAACACCCCTCGCCAAGGTGCGGCCAAGCGCTACAACACGCCGCAATCCACGCCACGCGCACCGCTCGCGGACGCCACCAACACGTCGCGGATCAACGCCGGGTCATCAGCAGCCAAGGGCAAGACGTCATCTCGAGTCGGCGGTGCTCTGCGCAGCAAGCCCCTCTCGAGCCTGCGCCTGGAAGACTTCAAGGTCAACCCGGCGGTCAACGAGGGCCATGATTTCGCCTACACGGATGTGGTACGCGACAAGGACGAGCGAGCCTGCCTCCCAGGATGCGTAGACATGCACTGCTGCGGGAAAGACTTCCGGGCCCTGGCCCTGTCGCAGATACCCAACCCGCCCCTGACGGGGGCCCAGCGCCAGGAGGAGCAGAAGCTTCTGGAGGAGTACCTGGGTGACTACGCGTACCGGCTGACCAGCATGACGGCGTCGGAGAGGGCGGAGCTCTGGGTTGAGGCTAAGACGCGCGAACTGGCGAACAAGTACGGGAGGCACAGACATCGATTCTCGCGGATGCGCTCCCCTCCTGGATTCTGGGTTGCGGATTTCCCAAGCACGCAGGAGATAGAGCATGAGAGAGAGGAGGCCGCAGGGAGGGAGAGGATGGCGATCCAGGAGAGGCATAGGGAGGCCACGAGGCCGGGGGGGAGGTGGATATTCAGGGATGAGTGAGGTGACGATGGTGCACGGCTAAGGTGAACTTCGTAGATGTACATTATATCAATATGCTCCGAAGGTTGCTATTGTCGTCTAGAGTATATATATACTGTTTGAACGTACTGGGAGCTGTGTGGCGATGACGACAGAGGGGAAGAACACGCCAGCATGTAGGACTGTCTACAAAACAAGCCAAGAAGAAAGAAGAAGAAGAAAAGAGGTTGGGGGTATATGAGAAGGCTAGAACTCATGCGAATTGCCTCGAATTGTCAGCTATGGATGAAAAGATCTGCAGTGCCAGTCAAGACCTTTACATTACGATATTGAGTCGATGACAGAATGAAGCTCTACGGATGAGCCTGTGTAAACAAGTGTAAATATATGTGTATATAGGTGTAAAAATGATCCAATGACCGGAGTCGGCGGAGATAATAGTAATATAAATAATTTAATCCTTTTTTTTTAGTGCAAATGACAGTCATCATCCTTCCCTCGCATTCTTCTCTGTCTTATTTTTTTTTTTGCCCTTTCTTCCTATTTTGGTGTGCTGCCCCCAGCCAGTGGGTTCTACCTAAATTTTGTCTAGGGACCACAACCACGTCCAGCATAAACATATCCCCGAAACATATCCCCGAACGGTGAAAGCACAGGTCCAGCTTGTTTTTTTTTCTTTCCTTTTTTTTTTCTTTTTCCCCAGTTGTCGCATCTTCTTTGGTCAGGGCTATCACCAGATCCTGTTCTTCCCCACCGCTGCTGCTGTTGCTGCTCCCAAACGCCCGACGCTCCCTTTTTTTTTTTCCTAATATCCCCTCCTCCCACCCCTGCGCACAACGCAAGCCATCTATCTATCCCTCTACCTCTGACTTTCCTTTCTCTGCCTCCTCTTTCTTTTCTCTCAAAGGGGGGGGGCCGCATACATACGCGCAACCCAACATCCGACAGACCGACGAGTGACGGCGACGACGACGACGACGACGACTCCTCTCACCCTCTCCATCGAACGACAAAGGCCGTGAAGGGGAGCTTCCTCGAACCCTCACCATATCCACCGACCGAAACCGAGACGATCTACGGGTGGTCGCAACGCCGAAACGTGCGACTCCCCGTAATCGTCACGACATTCCCCAAGCCGGCAAGATGAGTACTCGCCATCTGCCGGCTGGGCAGCACGTGGCGCCAGTTCCGGGCTCCGCCGGCATGCCTCCTCCTGTCGACATGAACTCGGCGCCCCCCGCTGCGCACCAGGGAGGTCATCACCACCCCGTAAACGGAGGTGGCGTCGGCCACGGTCCATCCCATCGTGGCGGTAGGAGACATCAGCACCAGCACCAGCACCACGCTCATGCTCATCACCACCCGCATGCCCACGGCGGTCCTCCTGGTCCTCCTCTGGGCCCTCCTCACCCATCTCAGTTCGCGCCCCAGTATCACCATCAGCCGATGAACCCACCGCACATGTACGGATATATACCCTACGCGCCCCAGCAGCAGTACAACCCTTACGCCATGCCGCCGCAGTATCACCACCCTGGCACCGGCGCCGGCATGATGCCCAACCCTGCCGCCGCGCCCTACTTGCCCTACCAGTATCCCAGATCCCCCCCCAACATGCACCAGCCCTACACCCCAATGTCCGGTGTCACCGTCGCCCCCAACTTCCCGCGACACTCGCAGCCATCGCCCGCTCTCTCCACCCCTTACCAGCCTCCTCCGCCGCTTCCGCCGCCCATGTCCGCGCCTATCCCTCCGCAGACGCCCTCGTCCACTCACTCCTCTCAGATTCTGCCATCCCACACGCCGCCCACCCCCCAGCAGGTCAACTCCTCAGCCCCTCCGCCGCCGCCGCCGCCCGCGACTACTGCTGCTATCTCCTTGGAGCCCACCCAGACGCCAACCACTCCCGCCGCGCCGCGGGAGCCCTACCATCCTCCGGTTTGATGGCCCTCCATGCCATACTCCCCCCCCCCCCCCCCCCCCCCCC